CACTGTTCAAATGGTTGAAGACTCTGGAGACTTTTCAATTTGGATGGTATTTTGCATTGTGAGATGGATATGAGGTGGAAGGTTATGATTCAAAGTAACGTGGAGCTGTGCTGGTGAACTCTGATTGTCAACTTGAGATCTAGAATCACCTACATCATTCCCTGGGCATACCTGGGGGGATTATTTTGATTAGGTTAACTGAGGTGGGAGCCTGGCCCACTGTGGGTGGCACCATTTCCTGGTCTGAGATCCTGGACCATATAAAAAGGAGAACGTGAGCTGAGCACAAGTATTTATTGCTCTTTGCTCCTTGACTGTGGGTGCAATGTGACCAGCCACCACAAGCTCCTGCTGCTGTGGTTTCCCCACTATGAACTGTAACATCAACTGTGAGCCAAAATAAGTCCTTTCAGCCTTAAGCTGCTTTCGTCTGGATATTTTATCACAGAAACAGAAAAGTAACTAAGGAACGTATAGTCTATATTTGATGGTGCACTCTATAAATATCTGTTTGGTGTAGTCTCCATGACAATGCTCAAGAACTCTGGGATATGATCAAGAAACCAAACCTAAGACTTGTATTTTTAACTCTGAAGTTTCTTGTTTTAGTTTGGATGACTTGTCTAAAGGTAACGAGGGGGTATTGAAGTCACCCAGTATGATTACATCAGGACTTGACGTTTCAGTGTTTGTCTTATGAAATTGGGGGTCCCCAAATTCAATACATCCATAATTACAATTGTTATCTCTTCCTGATGAATTTTCTCTTTATTGGTATGTAGAGGCCTTCATCTCTTCTAAGTTTGAAGTCTACTTTATCAGATACCAAGCTTGTCTTGACTTCCATTTGCTTAAAGATTGTTTTCCATGTTTACAGTCTTTGTGATATGCATTTCTTGGAAACAATAAATAGCTGGATCTTGTTTCTCCATCCAGTCAGATGGGCTGTCACAGTTGAGGCCATTTACATTTCGGCTATTATGGGAGATATTTGCTAATTCCTGTAACTTTGGTTGGTTTATTGTTTGTCCTTTTCTTTCTCCCTATTAGAAAAAGGGGTTTGTTGGTTTACTGGGTTGGAAATGGTGGATTCCTTAATCCATTCCTTTCCTGGATTCATTCATTCTTGTGATTGAGACTTTCTTCTGTGCACAGTATTCCTTTAGGTATCTTTGCAAGACTGGCTTGGTGGTTATGAACTTAGTTTGTCGTTGTCTTAAAGTGGTTTTTTTTTTTTTTTTTTTTGGTTTTTTTTTTTTTTTGAGACAGGGTCTCTCTGTAACCTCAGTTGGCCTGGAACTCGCTATGTAGACCAGGTTGGCCCAACTCAGAGATCTGCCTGCCTCTGCCTTCTGAGTGCTGGGATTAAGTGTGTGCCACCACAGCTGGCAAATGTTATTTCTCTATGTTAAAGGTTAGCTCTGAGAACAGCAAGGCCTGGCAGTTACTTTCAGAGCTTGAACGAGCAGTTCTTTCCTCACTTCCAGGGTTGCTGCTGACAGACCTGATGTTACTCTTCTAGGTTCACCTTTGTGGGTGACTTGGGGTTTTTCTTTCAGTTTTTAATGTTGTTTCTTTGCAGTTTTGGCACCTTGACTATAATATGTTCTGGAGAGGGTCTTTGGTCATGTCTGTCTGAGGCTCTCCATGCCTGTTGTTTAGATGTCCATTTTGACTGGATTCAGAAAGAACTCTCACTTTGAACAGGCTGATGTGACTTTGTTAGTAGGCTTTCTGAGACAATATATACTCAGTGACTATAGTTATAATCATCTGCTGAATGTTTTGGGGAGATAGATGTTTTAATTTCTCACGAAACAGGGCAGCATGATCTTTAAATGGGCCCCTATTTGGCTAAGTGTCTTAACAGTGAGGAAGGAGAGAGACACTAAGGTGCATACACAACACACATCATCTATAATCAGCCCTTTTCACTTTTTCACAGATTATATACCTCTGGGAAAGTCGGATCCTGGTATGTGCAAGGAACAACAAAAATGTGGGGAAAGACACTGGGAGACTGACTTGTTTTTTTGTTTTGGTCTATTCGAGACAGGGTTTCCCTGTAGCCCCAGCTGTCCTGGAACTCACTATGTAGGCCAGGCTGGCCTTGAACTCAGAGATCTGCCTGCCTCTGCCTCCCGAGTGCTGGGATTAAAGGTGGGCGCCACCATGCCCGGTGACTATTTCTTTTTAAAAAAATATATTTTATGTGTATGAGTGTATTGCCTGCATGTAAGTACACTGTGTTGTGCAATGCCAGTGGAGGTCAGAAGAGGGTGTTGAGATCCCTGGAACTGGAGTTACAGATGGTTGTTAGCCACCATGTAGGTGCTAGGAAATTGAACCCCGGTCCTCTGCAAGAGCAGCCAGTGCTCTTAACTGCTGAGCCATCTCTCTAGCCCTTATTTCTTTTACTGACCAACTCTGGTTTCTAGATCTGGAAGGTTTAAGGTTATTAGTAACAATGGTCATGTATATAGTGATAAGTGATACAGTAATTCTGTCATGGCTCAGTTCAGAAGGTGCATAAGGAAAGCACTGAGCCATGACATACTGAACCTGTCTAGGTCATGTGGTTCAGATACAGTGAAAACTGGAAAAGAGCCAAGGGTTTGGGTCACAGACTCTTCACTCCAGAGGGAAGAGCAACCCCAGCTGTGGGAAGGAACACCTCAGATCCTGGGACATGGTGGAGGGCGGGGAGGGTGGACTATTCATGTCTTTGGCTTAAATGTCTCCAGAAAGGTGCACAGGAAGGGGAGGAGGATGGGAAGACATTTTTACTCTTTTGTATTTGTTGAATTCTGAGCCAAGTTACTATTTTACATATTTTAAAAATTAATGGCTAGGTGTGATGATATATACCTGTGATCTCAGCATTTAGAAGGTAGAGGTTGGCAGGGGATCCAGAGTTCAAGGTCAGTCTGGGATACAGAGGGAGTTCCTGTATCAAAAATACAAACCAGGGGCTGGAGAGATGACTCAGTATTTAAGTGCACTTAACTGTTTTCACAAGCCTGGATTTGGTTCTCAGCACCCATAAGGTGGCTCGCAACCAATTACCTGTTTCTACAGTTTCTGAGAATCTGATAACCTTTTCTCACCTCTGTGGGCTCTTGCATACGTGTGGTATACAGAAGCTCATGAAGGCAAACACATGGACACGTAAAATGAATTAAAAATTAAACTGAACCAAACCCAATAACTATAATTTTGTTTAGTTTTTAAAATATTTTTTTATCATTTTTATTTTACATGTATGAGTGCATTGCCTGCATGTGTGTAAGTGTAGTGTACCCGTGTCCAGCAAAACTCAAGGAGGTCAGAAGAGGGCATCTGATCCCCTGGAACTGAAATTATGGACAGTTGTTAGGTGCCACATGGGTGCTGGGAACCAAGCCTGAGTCCTCTCTGCGAGAGCAGCCAGTACTCTTCACTGCTGAGTCATCTTCAGCCCATTTGTTTTCTGAGACAGGGTCTTGCTGTGTAGCTTGAGCTGGCCTTGAGCTCAGTTACCCTCTTGCCACAACCTCCCAAAAGTTGAGATTACAGGTTTGTGCATCACCACACCTGGTTTCCAAAACAACTCAGAATTCTAAAATGAAAATAAGCTTTGACCCTAATCTGTAGCTAAAATTTAGGAATTAATGTTCTTATTCATAAAGGTAGTGCACTGCAAAGATATGAAATATAAAATAAAATGAAAGGCTTTCTTTCAAAAGTGTTATATATCATCGTCTTAGTTTGTTCTTCATTGCTGTGATAAAATACTCTGACCACTACCAACTTGGGGAGGAAAAGGTTTATTTAGCTTACATATCCCAGGTCACAGTTCATTTGGAAGCCAAAGATAGGAACTCAGGGCAGGAACCTGGAGGCAGGAGCTGGAGCACAGGCCATGGAGGAATGCTGCTTACTGGCTTGCTTCCCTGGCCCCTGCTCAGCCTGCTTTCTTATGCAACACAGGCCCACCTGCCCAGGGGTGGCACCACCCACAGTGGGCTGGGCCCTCCCACATCACTCATCAAAAAGATGCCCTTCAGACGTGGCCACAGGCCAGTCCAATAGAGGCAATTCCCTGCCTGAGGCTCCCTCAACCCAGGTGTGTCAAGTTGACACTAAAGCACTAACCTACACAGTAAATACAATTTTGTAGTATAAAGATGCCTTTTTAAGAACAAACCTATACACAAATGGCACACACTGTAAATTAAGCTTATTTTTATTTAATATAACTGATGAAGTTAACAGACAAATATATTTTAATGTAATAAAACGTTATCATTGATAAGAGTCACCTACATTTTAAAGGATATTTTAGTATAGCCAAAGACCAAACATTCGAAGTTTATCCATTTTTAAAATGTGAAACAACACAATTATAATACCCATAATATGTCCTACCATTTTAAAGTTTTAACTAAAACATTTGCAAGTAAATTCAAGAATTATCCTGTATCTAAGACAAATAGTGTCATACAAATAAAGTGCCAATGGGTGAGAATGTGCTTTGACCTGCTTTCTTCTGGAGGGGACAGAAGGATGTGATATCACAGAGCTAGCTGCAGAACTCATCATTTACAGTATGCTTTGTGACAGCCAGGAGTACTTTCTTGCAGTAGATACTAACCACAATAAAGAATTCATCTTACGAACAAAACTATGATTTATGACCAGCTGTTCAGTCACAGCTGAGTATAGTTTAATATCCAGTGTTTTTAAAAAGTACAGTCTTGAAGTAAGAGAAACCAAATCCTACTGATATCAACAAATGGGTTGTAGGGACTTTACAGAAATGAAAGAATGTCTCTCTTGTTATTGTAAAATAGGTTTATACCTGTTTCAAAGAGACGTTGACGAGCAGTGATGGCAAAGTTTGGCAATAAGTATGTTCCTAGCAGCCTGGTGCACACTGTCCTGACACTCCTTCACGTAAAGGAAACGTGTTTATTAGATGTTACAGCACTTTTCAGGCACTTGACCTCACTTGGTAGTTATGTTGGCGTCTGGGTGTTTTTTTTTTTTTTTTTTTTAATGGAAAAACATTAGATTACATAGCGACTTCAGACCCTGCTCCCACAGAACATCTGTGCTCTTGTAAGCTAAATCCAAATGCTTCCTCTACAATCAAATAATGATGCTATGTACCCAATTCAGAGAAAAAATGTAACAGGTTCAAGTTAATATATTAAATTTTCTCAATCTAAAGATTCTTCCATCATAGATTTAAAAAAAAATCTTTGTTGCCTATTACTCGTCTCAATGCAAACAGAAAAGAGCTTGAGAATTCTGAAATACTATCTAAGTATCAGAAGGTCTGAAAGTACCAGCACAATACAAGGTTTACGGACACAGGTGTACAGTTTGGCTCTTGTACTCAAGAGCAGTGTTTTCTCATAACAAACGTGTTCCTAGTTATATTACAGGATTCAGTAAACATTTTAAGGTACACAAAGCAGTTATGAAGCCCAGTCTATCGTCTTTGACTGTGTTTCAGAACTACTACATCAATGCCTGGCTCCAAAATTCTTTGGGGTTCATACCAAAGGAATGCCGCCATCAGATTCAGATACGCAACCAAAGGTAGGCTTCCTCATTGTACCACCTAATTGTATCCCACAATGAAAAGTTATGGCAAGATTCCAGTATAGCTGCTACTGATTTCACCGTTTTTCTTAGCATTTACCATATAGCTTAAATATGCGGAAACAAGGATTTCTGTATGTATTAACAGTATTATGATTGGGGAAAAATTTTGCAATCTACTTTGAGTCATTTAGCTTTAAAATAATGAAACCAGCTCTTGACACAAACAACCCTGAGAATGATGCATTCAAATTCCAGCCCAACTAGAAACAATCGAATTGAGAAACCTTAAAAATACAAAAACAAATTCTGTAAAACTTATAAATTAAAAAAATACCAACATTTGAGGCACTGCCAGACTACAGTACTTTTAATAGCAGCGAGGACTTTGAGAAAAAGAACAAACAGACAAGGCCAAGGTGTAGTTATGCACACATTGTGCAGTAATGAAAAACACTGTCCCCAAATTCTAGAGCCCAAGCATTGTTATTGCAGCATCTTCTGTTAAAGGTATCACAGTCTGGCTGCAAGAGTTTTGGTAATTAATATAAAGCACTGGTATAGAAATTTGTACTATTAAGGGAGTCAAGAGCTTGGTTGGTAACTATTTCTTCAAGTGACTGGCAGCCCTTAGAAGGCAACATGAAAGAAACATCACTAGTTATGATGTGAAGGCTACGGATTTGATTTAGGTCAGAGGGGGTACGACTGTAACAAGTAAAGTGTAACAAAGTCTTCACAGTAGAAATAAAACCTGTTGTTCTAGAAACAAAGATTCAGCCTTTAATACTGCCTATAAATCGGTGAAATGCATACACACAAAAACATAGTTATCACCAGGTAATTTATCAACATGACAGGCTACATTCTGTACATGGTGCTTGTGAAATTTAACATCTGCTACAAAAAGTACAACAAATACTAGGAATCAATTTTTAATAGTCTTCTGATGTCAAAAAGAATGAAGTCATTTCTGCTCTATGTTAAAAAATATGTTCCCTGCTTCCTCTTAATATAATTTATAAAGCTTTACTAAATGAAATATTTTGTTCTAGAGAAACATCTACTGACATATCTGAAAATAAACAGTCCCATATCTTTAAAATCTATACTTATATGTTAGAGTATATACACTTCATATAGTATTTAAAACGAAATACTTAGGCATAAATAGCTTTTGCCATTCAAGGTATGGAGACAGAGATGTATTACTCTAGTCTGTATACCCTTACATTGCAACTGAGCATATATTTATGTGGAGTTTGACAAGTTAGGAAGAACAAGAGCAAGTTAATCCAGGATTAAGACTAAATCAAAACACTAGTGTGTTATTAACTGGGGCTAGACAATGACCCGTTACAGCAAGGACAAACAGCCTTCTGGAATTCCTGTGGATAATATATTAATCAATACAAGTAAGATACATGTTACCATACTAAAAATCTAAAGCAGTATGTAGTAGATACTGAATACTGGAAGGAATTCAGCCTAATTCCTAGTTGTGCTTTGCATGGGCAGAAGCTACAATGTCACACTGAAACCAACCCTCTTGTGCTTTAGACCTCTCCTCCCTGCACTTCCCTAGGTGGGTCTGCAGAGGCCAGGACCAGACTGTAGAATGTATACAGATCAAGCTATTATAACCCTGGGATTTGTGTTTCTAATGCTATTTCAAGTCAGCAATTAGAATGGTTGCATTGTCACATAGATTTCCCTCTAGATGACGGAAAAAAGGCCTTTGAGGTCCAGGTTTGATGGGAGAGATCTGAGAGCCAGTGTTAGAGAATCAAGGCATTACCAAGGGAGAGATTTTGTTTTAAGTGTCACGCTAATGCAACGTTTGCTATTCTGGTGAAGGTCCTCACAAACCCTGGGACTATGCCTACAATTCTGGACACAATATACATACAGTCCAAAAGACTAAACAGAAATGGACAGGTGTCATCTGAAACAGTTTTAAATAATTCAGTCCCTAGAATCCTTTCCTAGTTATATTTCACATCAGAAACCAAATTAAGTCATACGAGAACCAGAAAATATATATGTATGCTTAAAAAGGCAAGTTATAATTTTCAAATTAGGTAACATTTCTTTCATGATTTGTTTTCATTTTACTTTAGAAAAAAATGTACATAAATTTAACAAATCAATTTAAAGTCAAGAATTCCAAACCAACTCAAGGCATCCCACTTATAGTCTGATGTCAGAAAATACACATACGTAGAGCCAGCTGGAAAGGAGAGCTAACAGACAATAGGAATGCTTGCTCAGCATGGCTGGAGTGGAGGTACCGCTTGGCTCCTGCACAGGCCACTCCCGCCAGTGCTGACGGTGCAGGCTGGGGCACACATTAAAAGCAAAAATACAACTAAATGTCACTTTTGGTTCTTTATGCTGATTACCAAGGTCTTAAATAAAAACCCATGGATTTTACCACCTCCTCTGCCACTGCCCTTCAGGTCTTTACCATTTGTGGGACTTGCTCAATTTACCCAACAGTTCAGTGTCCCTCTGTCAACCACATCAGGTACCAAAACCTCCAGGACAGTGTCAACTTGGCAAAGAGCAGCACAACCGAGGTATTATGTGGCTGTACCTGGCCACCCAGACAAGTGACAGATTTTGATAACATGATTTGAGTTTAAAAGCTTGTGATGGCCATGCATGGGCAGAAACAGTGACAACTCCCCTTCATAATATATGAACGCTACATGATTAAGTCTGAAATCAGTACAGAGCAGTTCAACCTAACGTGTGGTACTTCCTGTCCACCGCATGCTACATTGTTTGATTTTTGAACCCTGGTTTGTTAATCATTTAAGTACCGTTCAGGGGTGATTGCTCAGACAAGTGACATCTGCTGAAGCTGCTGCGTCTGTTGCTTATAGTCACGTAATGAAAATCACAAGAATGTAATAGGAAAGATACTTACAAAAAATTATACATCTCGGTATTTTCTCTAAGTTACCAACTGCCTGTAAAACTGAGCTAGCACAATTTCAAAACAATAAACAAAACAAAAATAAAACATGAAGTTGCTTATGAAGGCCATAGCTTTGGTGACGACTTAGAACCAAACTTTAGATCTGCGCTTGATCCAGACCTAGATTATTCCCGCCTGCCCGGAGCTCTGTCTACTTGCAGGGCTTTATGGCTACTGCGTATTCTTCACTCATCGCACACATGACGGACACCTGGAGGGGAATGAAAGCAGTTATCTCCAGGAGGCAATACGAGCAGATGCATTTTGTTCACTACTGTATGTTTGCAGGTATTTGTATATTGAATTGGAAAGGGTAACCCAAAGCACATACTCTACCTTCTTTACAACTTTCTAAAGCAGAATTTCTCAGATTGGGGTTAAATAAGAAGACAATTTCCAAGAACTAGAAAAACTATCCACTCTTGAGAGTTTTGACAGTCTGGCTGGCTGGCTCCTCCACTCTTGAACACTCTAGCTTTCTTTGTAACCCTTAACTCACAGGCAGATCTTCAAAGTAAGCATGGAGTTAAGCATTGTTCTAGCAAAAAACCAAAATCAAACTAAAACAACAACAAAAATCATCCGCTAAAATTTGATAATTTCTTTGGTAATAGGTCTCTAAGGGTATCATAAGAAAATGCCTTGAGGAGATCATTTTCAATATTTCAGCAATATTTTAAAGTTGTATTTCAGGCATGTGTGTGGAAATCAGAGGACAACTTTGTGGCACTGGTTCGCTCCTTCCACTTTAATGATGGTTTCAGGGATCGAACTCAGGTTATCAAGGCTTGTGCAGCAAGAGCTTTTACCCACTGAGCCTACTGCCCCTGCACACACAGTGCTTTCTGCTAACTCATTTAGGTCGAAGTGTTATATGTGGATTCAGAGACACAGCTTCTAACAGTCTTACCTGCACGTCTTCACCTGCGTTGTATTTCCCTTCTATTTCTTTACCGAGTTCACCTTCTGGCAGCTTAAGGTCCTCACGGACTTCACCAGTTTCTGTCAGCAGGGAAAGGTAACCATCCTGAATGCATATGAGCTATTAGAAAAAATTAAGTTTGTACTGATTAGCTCACATCCACTCCTTTGTGATGTTTATGTGGCTAAACTGCAGCATACATTAGTGCAAAAACACACAATACATGAATAAATTCTTAGCATTTAAAAATGCTAAAATGCAAGAATGTGAAATAAGCCCACAACAGAAGTGTGTGTTCACTCTTCCCTGGGCTCTCCCCACTGATCTGCACTGTTACGTGTAGGTTGAAGCGCTTGCACTCACAGACACAACATAATAGAGCTGCTTTTCAAGAAAATGGGGCACTTTTCAGCAAGCTGTTTTCAATGAATAACATGTCTTACAAGGTTTCCAAATCATAAAATATAGACTTATCTCAATCTAACCACCATACTGTACACTAAGTAAATTATCTCAATCTAACCACCACACTGTATACTGTAAGTAAATTATCTCAATCTAACCACCACACTGTACACTGTAAGTAAATTATCTCAATCTAACCACCACACTATACACTATAAGCAAATTAATCATTTTCCCATTAGTGGGCATACAAGTTATATTTCAGTGTTTCACTATTATAAATACTGCATTTCATAATTTGATTACAAGTAAAGTAAGCAGAGATTGTTGGTCTTCAGCTCACTGCCCTCTTCATACATGTACACAATGAATTTTAATCACATTCGTCCAATTCCATCTTTCACCTCCTCCTGCTGCAGCTGATCCCAGGACCTCCTTCAGCTCTGATGTCTTCCTCTTTTTAGGGGGGTGCTAAGTTTCATTAGAGTGGCTTATGGGAGCATATGTGAGAAGCTGCAGGAGCATGGGCACTGTCCCAGGGGCTACAGCACTGAAGACAATGTCTCTTCTCCTAGCACCATCAACTGCCTACAGATCCTCAGGGAGGAGTGGTAATAACAGTCTTTTAACATTAGTTTATCTATGACATTCATTAAACCCAGTAGCAACCCAACTGCAAGAAAGCACACTTTTTGACATAACTCAATTTCTTTTATTACAGGAATGAGGAAAACAACGAGGCCCCATTTATAACTCAACTCCGGTCCCAGGGGATTCAACAATCTCTTCTGTTCTCCACAGGCATTGCATGACACGGGTGCACTTACCTATATGCAGGCAATACACACACATACATAAAATAAAAATAATAAATATTTTTTTTAAAAAAGCATATTAGTAGTCAGGACGTGGTGGTGCATGCCTTTAATCCCAGGATTCTGGGAGGCAGAGGCAGGCAGATCCTATGAGTTCAAGGTCAGCCTGGTCTGCATAATGAGTTCCAGGCCAGCTGGAGCTACAGGGAGATGGCTCAAAAATACCAAAAAAAAAAAAAAGCATATCAGTGTTCCAAGAGACTTAAAAAAAAAAAAAAGATATTCATCCAGAATATCAGCTGCTAACATAAACCATAAACATCAGGAGTCAGAGGCACAGCCCTGACCCCTTTTAACCACTGCAGTGTAAGCCAGCACAGTGTACAGATGGAGTTTCATGCTCTCCATGTGCACCCTTTAATAACTCTATCCATGGAACTGCACAGAACTCCAACTACCATAGGAGACTCAAGTCTTGGCATCTATCTAAAATCTAAAAGAAAAAAAGTCCTACAGAGCAATGGCAACACTATGCTTTAATCACCGGGATGTCTGGGAGGCAGCTCAGGCAGAAGTGAGGAACCAGGAATCTAAGTGTAAGTGTAGTAGTGTTCAAACAATTAGCGACAGACATGCTCACAGGGCAGACCTTTCTGCTCTGGAGCAATTCCTTGATGTGGAACGTGACTAGTGACTGAAACATAGGAGCTAAATAATATTACTGGTATTCTGGCAATTACTTATAAATGGTATTCAGGACCCATTAAATAAACAGATAAAATATATAAACACTTTCAAACATAAAAGTAACTGAAATATAAATATGTAAAAAACCCAAACACTTATAAGCAACTTATTAAAATCCCTTATCTTTGACCTAGATTCACCCCTTAACATTCAGTCACTTTGTGTTTTTTCTTTATATATATACAAAATATATTACCACATACTCTTATTTTTGCTGAATCACTTGAGAGTGAGTTTCATAGACCATGGCTTCAGAAATAAACACTTGTGTGCTTTTCACATGAACAGGGACACAGTCTTAAGTATCTGGTGTATTTTTCAACTCAGGGAATTTAACACTGATAACCCACTACCCATTTTCAAATGTGCCAGTTGTTTCTGACGCTCTGATAGCAACTTACTGCTCCAACTCCTGGATAAGACCTTGCATTTTCTTTTTTCCTGTTGGGGAGGTCTCAGTTCTTTTTGAGTGGTTTCATCACCCTCTGTCTTTCATGCCTTTGACATGGTGGTGTTTTACAGAATGCGCCTCAGCCTTAGTTTGCTTCCTTGTTTCTTTGTGGTTTAGGCAATGTGTTTTGGGAAGGAATACTATGAATGAAGTGTTCTCAGAGTTACCAGTCACCAATCACACAGGAGGCAAACCATGGCAATCTGTCCCACTAACAGCTGTAACTCTGACTGCTTGGTAAGGTGGAATCTGCCAGGTTTTCTACTCTAAATGTATCCTTTTCTCCTAAAAAATAGAATGAAAAGAAAAAGGAAGCAGTCAATGGTGCTAATGTCGAATCTCAAGCATATTTTTGTGCTAATTTTTCATCTTTCTCAGTCTTCATAGTTAGAACACTTGTAATACAGTTGTGAGCATGCATTAGTGTAACAGGCTCCTGACCAAAACTCTTGTACTAGAATGCATTACCTTTTCTTTACTAAAAAATCTTATTAAAAGAATGTAGGGATCCCTGGAAAAATGAGTGATTCCATGTCTAGTTTGGAGGTGTAGATGACGGACCTGGAGAAGCGAAACTAGAGTGAGGGACTATCCACTGACGAGGCCACAGCAACAGGACTCGGCATCAGCTGACTAAGGCCCCACTGACCCTGACAAAGCAACCTGAGAATCAATACGGAGGATAAAGAAAATGGATTGAAACACAACTATGCTGTTTAAATGCCTGAGTTCATCGTAAAAAAATTATTTCATTGGTCATCTTCAGTGGCTACTAGGAAGCAACTCATTTAAAAACCTGGCAATGGGGTCTAGAGAGATGGCTCAGCAGTTAAGAGCACTGGCCGCTCTTGCAGAGGACCGGGGTTCAGTTCCCAGCACCCACAGGGGGCCTAACAACCATCCAGAACTCCAGTTTCAGGGGATTCAACATCTTCTGGTCTCTGTGGACACTGCATGCACATGGTGCATTTACACATTTACATACATGCAGGCAAAACATTCAAACACATAAATGACTGACTGGGTAAAGGTTCCTGGCACCAAGCCTGACAACCTGAGTTCAATTCCAGGGACCTACATAGTGGAGGAGAGAACCAATTCCTATAAGCTGTCCTCTGACCGCCAACAGATGCACCATGGCATGTATATGGACACACAGACACATAATAAATAAACAAATAAAAATTTTAAAAACTGCATAATGCAAGGCAGTGAAGCATTTATACTGGCTTCTTGTGTATATATACAAGCATGCGTGAGTATATGCTAGAAGATACATGCCTATTCCTCAAGGGAGAAAAAAATGAAGAAAAGTTTTTATAGAGGCAATCTAGCTAAAAACAAAATGAAGGAATAACAGATCACTACTTTGCTTCTCTTAATAAATTCATGGATCAAGTCAATGATCACAGAATAATAAAATTCATTTACAGTTAGTGACACTAAATGTGACCCATGGGGGGAATGTGGTCCATGGTTGGGGGCGGGGGATAGACTGAATCTGCCTGAATTTCTCCATCTCACTACCAAGTTTCAGGAAATACAAAGGAGGAATATGTAAAAAAAAAAAAACAGGAAGGGAGCCAGGCGTGGTGGTGCACACCTCTAGTCCCAGCATTCAGGACACAGAGGCAGACGGATCTCTGTGAGTTCAAGGTTAGCCTGGTTTACATAGTAAGTTCCAGGCCAGATGGAACTGCAGGGAGACCCTGTTTCAAAAAGGCAAATAAAAAAAAACAAAAAAAACCAGGAAGGAAATGCAGTTAGCAAAATCTAGACAGTAGGAAGTCTATAGAACACATGATCCAGCCTCGTCATTAAAAAAAAACACTGCGGAGAAGAGAGAGAGAATCCAAGTGCATCTGATAAGAGATTAAAACAGAGGCCAGAGCTGAATCAACCAATCTTATCGGGTGGACCTTATTCAGGCTATGAGCTACTAATAAATAACATAAAAACAACAACCATCACATTCATAAAAACAAAGCCAAACAATTAGGAAAATGTAGGAATTGGTGGGATATTCTACATTCACAGTTCTTAGCCTTCAAAGATGTATAATAAGATACAGGTGAAATGATAAAGTATCTAAAATTAACTTCAAAATAATCAAGAGGCAGAGACTACATAAGGAAAAATAAATGTGGGGTACAGCCCAGTATGGTGGCACGTGTCATTAATTCCAGCACTTGGGAGGCAGAATCAGGATTGTGAGTCCAAGGCTAACTTTAGCTACATACATGGTGAGACCCTGTCTTAAAAACAGACAACTACAAAAGGAGTTGGGGTAAGGCTCAGCGAACACTGTAGAAGAGGTGAAAAGATGTAAGAGCCGGAGGTCAGGGAAGATTGCTGCAAAATAATGTTTTCTAGACATGACGACATGAACTCACAGCAACCACAGTTGCCAGCATACAATCTGCACAAGATCAAGCCAGGCAACACTCCAGCATGGAGGAGAGGGAAGGGGCTCACCTCTAGCTGAGGAGCAGTTGATGGTCTGGGGGAAGGGAGAGTCAGGTCTCTTCAGGGGCATGGCCCCTGAAAGGTTGCCCATGGTCCAGGTGATGGTGCCCTATTCCCACAGGCATACTAGTAGCACTAAGTAGACTCTGGGTTATAAGAAAAAGAGAAAAGACATGAAGTTGGGAGGGGCTGTGGGAGGGGAGGATCCAGGAGGAGTTAGAGGTGGGGGAGGGGAT